TAGGGAAATTTGGAATAGGGCAACGGAACCCAAGGGGCCAGCAGCTGGCCGACTTCATGGAGAAAGAGGGACTCTTTATGATGAACTCTTTCTTCCAGAAGCGGCCCCACAGGAAGTGGACCTGGTCGAGCCCCGACGGTTCGACAAAAAATGAGATTGACTTTATTATGACGACCAGACGACAACTATTCAGTGATGTCTCCGTGATGGCGAGGGTGAAAACTGGTAGCGATCACCGAATGGTTAGAGGCACACTGAACCTAAACGTTAAGTTGGAGAGGTCTCGTCTAATGAAGTCAACGCTCCGTCCCCCTCGTGCTCTGTTCCAAAGTCCCGAAACCTTTCAGCTCGAGTTACAAAACCGTTTTCAGTGTCTAGAAGACTGCAATGAAGTGGACGATATGAATGACAAGCTCGTGGAAACTGTCCATGCGGTCGGAGCTAAGTTCTGCAAGACCCGCCGCAGAAGAACACAAAAACTCTCCGATCACACTCTTAATCTTATGGCTGTTAGACGGGAGATGAAGCTACATTCTTCAACAGACTTGACAGCATACAGGTATCTGAACAGACAGATCTCCAAATGCATGCGGCGGGACTTACGCAACTTCAATACAGCTCGTATTGAAGAAGCGATCGAGCGGAACCAAGGCTCCAAAGTCTTTGCCAGAGATCTGTCTGCCAGAAAGAGCCAACTGTCAAAGCTGAAGACAGAATGTGGCAGCATAGTTTCCGGGACACCTGAGACTTTGAGTGAGATTGAGAGGTTCTATGGGCAGCTGTATACGTCATCGTTGGAGCCACACGCAAGTATGAGTAACGATCCAAGAGCGAGTCTCATCCGACACTATTCCGAAGATATCCCGGACGTCAGTCTGAGCGAGATTAGAATGGCTCTCCAGCACCTTAAAAAGGGTAAGGCCCCAGGCGAGGATGGAATTACAGCGGAGCTTCTGAAAGCGGGTGGAAGACCGGTACTTGAAGTCCTTCAGAAGCTCTTTAATTCCGTCCTCCATGGTGGCATTACACCGGAGGCGTGGAGCAGAAGTGCGGTGGTCTTGTTCTTCAAGAAAGGTGACAACGCTCTCTTGAAGAACTACAGACCGATTTCCCTTCTGAGCCGCGTCTACGTGCTGTTTTCGAGAGTCATTACGAATCGTCTCGCGCGCAGACTTGACGACTTCCAGCCTCCCGAACAAGCCGGTTTCCGAAAGGGCTTTAGCACAATAGACCACATACATACCCTTCGGCAAATTGTACAGAAGTCCGAAGAGTACAATTTGCCACTATGTCTGGCGTATGTGGACTATGAGAAAGCCTTTGATTCCGTCGAAATTTGGGCGGTGCTGCAGTCTCTTCAGCGGTGCCAAGTTGACTGTCGGTATATCGAAGTGTTGAAGTGCTTGTACAGTAGGGCTACGATGGCTATCCGAGTACAGAATCAGAGTACGAAACCTATCCAATTGCAGAGAGGTGTAAGACAGGGTGACGTCATATCCCCGAAACTCTTCACCGCTGCATTGGAAGACGTTTTCAAGCTTCTGGACTGGAAAGGATACGGTATCAACATCAATGGCGAGTACATCACTCACCTTCGATTTGCCGACGATATAGTCCTTATGGCAGAATCGCTGGAGGACCTAAGCATTATGCTCAATGACCTCAGGTTGGGCAGCGTTCGGGAAATTACGGCACATCTTCTCGTCAGGTATACCTCAAAACTTGAAAACAAGACTCTACAACCAGTGCGTGTTGTCAGTGATGACCTATGGTACTGAGACGTGGTCCTTCACTGCTGGCCGTATGAGGGAGCTCAAGGTCGCTCAGCGAGCTATGGAGAGGGCTATGCTCGGAGTTTCTCTGCGTGATAAACTTAGGAATGAGGATATCCGCAGTAGAACCAGAGTAACCGACATAGCCCAACGGATTAGTAAGCTGAAGTGGCAGTGGGCCGGCCATATAGCTCGAAGAACCGACAACCGATGGGGAAGAAAGGTTCTCGAGTGGCAGCCTCGTACCGGTAGGCAAAGTGTAGGGCGTCCCCCCACGAGATGGAGTGACGACCTGGTAAGACATGCAGGAAGTCGATGGATGCAGGTGGCTCAGGACCGTACTTTGTGGCATTCTTTGGGGGAGGCCTATGTTCAGCAGTGGACTTGTGAAGGGCTGTAATGATAATGATGATGACTAAATGCTTTATACTATAGGGATAACGATATAATGTAGGAGTCCCCTTTAAGTTTGTAAAAAAATCCACACAAATTAGGAAATTATTTTTAATGTAACAGAATACCAGCGTAAAATAGCCACTGAACGCTGCTGTTTCGTATGGTAAGGGATCCGGAGACCTTTTTTTACTGAAAAGAGGTATTCTATCTTAATCCTCACGAGTGACAACGCATCTGCATTACAAGTATGATTCGTAATCGAGGATGGATGTAGATGTCTATGGGCCACAGAAACCACTTACCATCAGGTGTACCGTGTACTGTGTGCTCGTTTGTTATCCTTATCCTCTAAAAAGAAACTGTTTAGACGTTTTGCCTAAAGCATTTCCTTAAAATGGTCAAAGATTTATTTTTTATAAAAAAGAAAAGCCGATTTCAAAGAACGAAAAACTAAAAACAAAATCACATAAAAGCTTCTGATTCTGCTTTATCTATGTCTTTTGTCTTAGCACTGGAAATGTAAATTATTTTTTTAGCTTTACTAAAAGTTTAATTTTTCATAGACCTTTTGCATTGTAGGTAGGTCTTAGTGAAAATTAAAAAAAAATAGAAAGTCACGCTGCTCATCTGTGGGTTAGCGAACTTTAAACGCATGGTCTTTAAATAAATATTATTCTCCAACATGTGCTGCCTTGCGATGATGTGACCCGCCGAGCACGTTATAAATTTGTAGCTAAAATTCATTTTTCACAAGTTTCATTTGCACGAGCAGGAACTTTATCTACCTAGTCTTTTCTTCCGTGTCATTTTAGATATTAAATTATTTTAGGCGTTTTAGGTCAGTGCTCTTAATACACTACTTGGTAAAAGTTGTGCCACCTGTCGTGAAATAAAACATTCTCTTTCTCATCGCACTTCTGGTAAAATTGTTCACTGTTTAGTTATTTTGAAAAATCTGAGATAACGAAATAGATATCAATCTATTTCGTTATATCAGATTATAGAACAACCACCATTTAATAGTTCTATAACATTCTCATGAGTGAGAGGAAGCTTGTGCCTATCAGTGGGACATACATAGGCTGTAACGTTTATACCATGCCATTTGTCCGTACCCAGATACTCGTTCGTTTAGTAGGTTGAACCACATACGTTTTGGGAGAAGAGAACTTGTACTAAAAAATTAAAAAGACAACAGTATACCGTAAACGCAAGAAATATCGTTGAACGACATGTACATATTAAAGATTGATATAAGGATTCAATAAAATAATAAAACTTATAGGAAAAATAGGACAAATATTGAACATATCCGATCAAAAACATAAATGGGCATTTCTTTGTAAACTGGGTAACTCGCTCTAAGAAAGTTGTCTCTGCAACTTTTTTGCTTATATATTTAAAAAGTCTTATTCAGGGAATATATATATACTCGTATTAAATAATAAACGGCAAATGAACCAATAATATTTCCTTTACTTTAGAATATATTGAGTATTTTCTGAAAAATGATACAGGGGACTGCTGCCTATGTCAGGGGACTGTGAATTTAAATGAAAAATAACATATCATGATGACATATCTGTTCAATGGTTTCTACTAACTTTAATAGATTTTCAACATCATCTCCAACAGCAAAAACGACATTTGCAGGTAGCTCCAACACCGCTCGGACTTCAAATAGCAGCTGAAGAGTGAGACTAATCAGTGTAGACGACACACCGAAATGAAAAGCAGGGAGAAGAATGAAGGGTGTATATTTAAAAATAATCAGTGCATCTCCGGGTGTTCCGACACAATCATCTACCGTGAACAGACTATATCTGTAAAATGATAACATATTTGTGCCATTTGCTGTAGATGTAGAGACATACTATCGGTCCGTGAGCTTCGTAATGTTAGCAAGTCCAAAAATTAGAATTAGACGAGGTTTTACAGGGACATGTAGAATCGTTTGCTCATTAAGAATAAACGAAAAAAATAATTATTCGTGTCACCCCTGCAGATTTACGACCCTTCGAAGACGCTTGCTAGAAATTTTATAAAATAGTCATTTTTTAATGGTTTTAAGGCACCAAAGTGAAAATATTCATGCACAGAACGTTTGCGCGTTATTTTCTCGTTCCAGAAGTATAATTACTTTCTCAGAAAAATGCATAATAACTGATTTTCACGATATCATTATTTTTCGCACCCCCAGCCTACGCAAGCATGCGAGTCTGCAATTGCGCGGCGCGCGTCACGCAGCGCACTGTGGCCTGTGGGAAGTATCAAATGTGAAATCAACTTATTGTTTACACTCACAATCCAGGGTTTTCTGTCTCATCAATTTGACAGTTGGATACCAGGCTCACTACACGATTGAGATCTCGTACAATGAAAGCGTAATTAGATTCCCCATTTTAATCGAGTTTTAATTAATCGGGCGTATTCAATTGGCGTTTCATTCAAAATCAAGTATCGTGACAACAAGTTTACAATAAAGCCATTGGTTTTGTGTGCACCTCTAGTAGCTTACATTTAATTATTGGAGAAAATATTTAGAGCTGTTATCAATATTCTATAAATCTTCTGTAAGTATTGTCCTAATCATCATTTTTTGGCTTGTTGCCTTTCAATGTTTATTATACATTTTATATTTTTTTGTGTGTAGGAATGCAGTGAGCAATCCAGAACATGACGTTTCCCTCGTCCCTCCCACCTCTTGCCCCTTCCTTTTTTCTTGGTTTTCCTTTGTTAGGAAACATTTGAGATACTGCCTACAAACATAAAGTAACATGAAAATCTAGTCGACTAGATATTTTAAAAGAAATTTCAAAAAAGTTATATTTACTATAAAAAAGTTGTACTGTAAGAATCTTCTTTTTCATCTTCGTCTTTTGATTCTTTGAAATTCTTTGTAGGATTTGTATCTTTTTCTTTGTCATCCTTTTCATAGGAAACTAACGCCTTTACAAGATCCACAAAAATAGAGTGATCCATAAATCCTGACTCACGCTCCCCATGTACTTTATCATCATAATTTTTTATTAATTTTTCGATAAAGGTCCCATCTTGATCAAGGATCTCATCACCCATGTATGGAATATTATGAAGGACAGTTTCATCTTTGACCATGAAATTTTGTTGTATCAGAAAGAACAAATATTTAGTTAAATGATTTTCCAAATAGACTCTATAATAAATAAAATAAATAAAAGTTGTATTGCGTGGCTTGGTACCTCTGTAAATACAAGAATGATTTAGATCCTGATTTGATATTGGAGCTGCATTGTTTTGCTCTACACTCTGAAGCAATAAGTTGTTAAGAATTTCTAATTACGCTTTCATTGTACGAGATCTCAATCGTGTAGTGAGCCTGGTATCCAACTGTCAAATTGATGAGACAGAAAACCCTGGATTGTGAGTGTAAACAATAAGTTGATTTCACATTTGATACTTCCCACAGGCCACAGTGCGCTGCGTGACGCGCGCCGCGCAATTGCAGACTCGCATGCTTGCGTAGGCTGGGGGTGCGAAAAATAATGATATCGTGAAAATCAGTTATTATGCATTTTTCTGAGAAAGTAATTATACTTCTGGAACGAGAAAATAACGCGCAAACGTTCTGTGCATGAATATTTTCACTTTGGTGCCTTAAAACCATTAAAAAATGACTATTTTATAAAATTTCTAGCAAGCGTCTTCGAAGGGTCGTAAATCTGCAGGGGTGACACGAATAATTATTTTTTTCGTTTATTCTTAATGAGCAAACGATTCTACATGTCCCTGTAAAACCTCGTCTAATTCTAATTTTTGGACTTGCTAACATTACGAAGCTCGGTCCGTGGGGTCCACGTGCGGTGAAATTCCTAAAAGAACTGTATCCGCGACTTGTCATCGCCCCTGGTGGAGGACTAGATCTTTTTTTGCTCAAAGGATAAGTAAAGTCATCCTGCTAGTAAACGTTCTTGGCGATATACTGCTGGGAGTAAGATAGTGGGTTAATTAAAGTTAGTTTTTTTTAATAATGGTAATAAATATTGTATATTTATTGTTAAGTAAATAAATGTTAATGAAATACACTATGTATTTTTTTTAATTCGTAAGATACTGTATAGTATAATTTTAAACAATAAATCCAAATCTTTCAAAAAAATATGGATCCCATAACTTGACTGATATAAAAGCTTGGTTGCTGATTGCTTGAATATCAGAACATTGGAAAAAGTTTGGAAAAAAAAATTTAAAACCGTTTTATAATTTTATATTACCAGTTAGCAGTGTGATTGCTTTTCTTCTACAATAAATTTTGTTTTTAATGCAGCTAAATCATTTGTACAAAGATAAATATAATGCAAAAATTTTACAGAGTTCTGTCTTTATAAGTATACTAGCTGACCAGACAGACGTTGTTCTGCCCTTTGCGACGACCATGTGTCCTAAAAAAATCATTAAATTCACAGTAAAAAAATTGAGGGTCACTTATCGGGATAAAAACTATCCTATCTCTCAAGTTGGACCAAACTGTACACATTGTGAAATATTTCATTGAAATCTGTTTAGTAGTTTAGGAGTTCATCGCGGACAAACAATGTGACACGTAATTTTTATATGTAAAAATTATATACATGAAGGAGTGCGTCTGCTAGTGATCGTGTAACTTCTGAACGTCCTGACCGATTGTCATAAGAAAGGACTTTTGTCGGTAAGCACTTACAAAAAGCCTAGTTCCGGTCTGAAATGTTTAGAGCCAGTATAATTATAAGTTGTGAGGAGTAAGATCACTTGCCGCTGATAAAAAAATAAACCTAACAAATAATACACTTAAATCTCTTAAAAAAAGACTCCGAAAAATAAGATTTAGAGATAAAATTAATAATACCAACGAGTGTCAAACGACCTTAGTTGTACGGGTTACCAAAATACACAAGCCCAGTGCTCCACTGCGTCCAATAGTAAGCCAGATCGTTTCAACAAATTACAGATTAGCTCAAAACTATCGAAAATAACAACGAATGTTACAAAACACTTATTTAATTATGTATGTACATGTTTCATACATGTACATACATAATTAAATAAGTGTTAGGTAGTATTAAGAAAACATATGTATTTATGTGTGTATATTTAATATTTATGTAATATCTTTATATAATTATCTTTATAATATGTATCTTAGTATGTAGTTATGGTTGTTATTCCGCATATATTATTTAGATATAAGTAGATATTTTTAACGTAACAGTTTGCACTTTGCACCCACAATATATTATCTGCTTAGCCTGGAGGCACACTGGTAGAGAATGCCCTGTTGCATTAAGTCCGCCTTTTTGTACTTGGTGTGCAAATAAAGCATAAATAAATAAACACTTAGTTCAAGAGCACACACAATGGATTCGTACCATTTTGTTAGTGAGGTAAAAGCCGTACAAAGTCAAGATATATATTGTAAGTGAAGTGTTACACATCTTACACATCGACAGTGAAACAATGGTCAGTTGGTGCAGTCACTATTCACATGCAAACATAAATTTCAATTATAACTAGAAAGTTGGAAAAAATCTATGCAGTACCAGTATTACTTAGACGTTGTCTAACATCTATTGTGGCTAAGATGTTTTTAAAGTATATTGTGGCAGGTTTACAGGCAAGTGGACTGTGTGGGGGTTTGCTCACATATGCCTCCCATTGTCGCCGATATATTTATGGAGAACTTTGAGGTGAAAGGCTTACGAACACTAAATTATTGCAAGTTCTGAAAATAGGGATAATCTGCGCACACGCATTAATAACATACACGCATTTAATAAAGACTATTGTAAAAAATTGTATAAACACTAAAAGGTATAGAGAATCAGTACAATTACATTTTGGTCCTCGGAGTGAAGTTGGTTGCAGGTGACCATGGGCTGCAGGAGCTACTTACTATCAGATGAACTGTAAGTTCGTCTGTCACTTGAATTTTAAATACCAGTTAGTTCACCATGGAGTTAGAGGCAAATAATTCTTTAGCTTTTCTGGATGTATTAGTAATGTTCAATCTTAATAAAACCTTAAGCTATACTATGCATAGAAAAAACACCAATGCTAATATTTGAAAGGTGAATCTCGCTTCCAACCCTCACAGTAAGCTACCGTGGGTAAAATCTGTGTTTCTGAGAGATTTGTAACTGTACAGTACAGTGTACTACTGTGCATGAGTGCAAGCTCCAGCAAGTAAGCAAGTTTTGCACGACAAGAAGCTTCAGGTCCGGTGCCGTCACAGTAACCGAATAAAACCGGCCACAGTCGAAAATGTGCCAGCTGTACCTATTACCGTATGTCAGAGGTGTGAGTTGTGATACCCCGTATGTCACATTTGCTTATAAACATAGGTGCTTCAAACAAAGATTACTCAGTTTTTACCATCCACAAGTGTAATATCCCTTTAAAATTTGTAGGAGCTTTCCAGCTTGATTGTGCATGCTCTAACTTACGTAAAATAGTATATAAGTGACGTGAAGAACCGACGCTCTGGAAAGTCTGCAGTATGTGGACATGTACTGGACCGCCCTCTTTATTACATCAGATTTGATAGACCACAAATTCTCGTAAAAGATCACTTCCGTACTTCCGTAACTTGATACGTCAGTAAGAAATTTGAAAATGTTAATTAAACGCGGTAAGGTTTGTAAAAACTAGTTTCATTCACGTACGATGTGATATTTAAAACCTTTAAAAAATATATTGCGATAAAGAGAATATTATCTTATAATCAATTGCAGTTGTTTATTTTTTATACAGTAACAATGAATAATTCAGCAAATAGATTTATTATCAATATACGATTTTATTTACAAAATATGTTTCCTGGTTTAGCTGGAAGTATTTTTATGGATTAAGGGTGACAACAAGCATTCATTCCAGCTAATGACGGTAGGTAGATGCTGTGGCCCATAGAAACCAACATCTATCATGTAAAAAGTCACCACTAAAAAGGGTCTCCAATTCTCTATAATCACCATTAACCTGGCTATTTTATGCTGGTATTCTGTGAGACCGTGGTCCTTCCCTGGTCGAGCCGATCCATTCGTTTCACATTCATAATATAGCTGCAGCGTGAATCTATCACGTTAAAAATCTAAAGATGCTGTTCCTTTCGAACAAAAAACTATAAAATTAAAACTTAACTTCAATCAGCCATTTTCTCACGTGCCTTGATATGCATACTCGCACAGCGTCACGGTTGTTTTATTGCCGTATACATACGTGACTAAAGCTTTTTTACGCTTTTTACAGTACACATGGTCGACTAATTTGGTTGATCATGAACCAGATCTATATTGCCTAATCCGAATACGATACTTCCGAAAGGGTTTATTTTATTTCGCACCACCTGTGCCGTATGAAGATGGATTTTTCGGGGTGAAAGAGTGTTGCAGTTTGTATGACTCTTTTTATGGGGCGCTTGACTCGAACCTCACTGAAAGTGACCTATAAATATATGAATAGATATTTTGCAAAACAACCCCTTACAAACACCGCCAACTTTCTGACTCCGGGTTGCTACTGAGAATTTCTTGACAGAAAAAATCAATAACTGATATTGGCCCGACCCGGGATGCTGGTCATGAGGTAGGTAAACCGTTTGCGACCACTAGACTAACGAGGCAATCACGTCCCAAATTTTTAGATACTCCACCCCAAGTAAGAATATAGGGAATGTAAGAAAAACATATATTAAAGAAGCTATAATAAGCGGTCTTATCGTTCATGAAGCAATTTCTTTCAGACAACTTTATTACACAAAGAATTGTTCACTGCGAATGTTTTGGAGGAAGCTGTTCATTATTCATACAATTAAATAAAAAAAAAAAAAAATAACTTAACAAAAAGTAAACGCCGTCTTTAAAGAACCAAAAGAAATAAACTTTTACTTTCTTATAATAGGCTTATACTTTTTGTTCAATATTATTTTTTACCCTTTTGAGTGAACCAGGAAATATCACAATCTCGATGTCGCCCAAATAGTAGCATTAAAAACTTCATACCCTGTTTGTCGACCCTTAGAGTGGAATTTCGTCCCCAAATTTATATGGGATTGGGACCTCCCTGAAGTATATTTAATTTTAAAAAAAATATCAAAATTGGTCCAC